GGAACAAAGGGCTCTGGAAACCAGGCACAGAAGAAGCAAGACCACCGTGTAGGTATAAACTCTGTGAATCAGGACAGACTAAGCAACGGTAAGTCAAAGGATTTTGAACTTAGGGCTCCAATGGAGGAGGATGAGTTTTGACCCAAACCATACTCCGAATCCACTCATTTACAACAGTGTGTAAGATACCACTCCAGTAAATTTCCCCAAAATACATTATAGAATCACTGTCAAATAATTTAACTAATGAATGTCACGTTATCTAGTCAACTCAAGATGACAAAAAAATGCTCCTTCATTTAGGGAAATACTTTCTTTTTTTTTAAATTATAGGTAGAAAAATATATTAATACTAAGAAAGCAAGAAAACATGCACTGTTCAACCACTAACAAAGAAACAAAACAAAACAACCACCATCAACAACAACCCATCTCTCAAACCAGAATGGTGAAAGTTCAGGTTCAGTTGAAATCTAGGAATAGGAAATGCCTAGAAAAGTAAAAGTCCTCAGTGAAATTACTGACACTACCCATCAGTTAAGACAATCTACAAATAAAGGCTTCAGCCATGAAACCTCTAGAGAAAACTACTGCTGCAGGAAAAAAATGCAGGTGTTTAACACTGGTGAAATTTAAGAAGTTTGGCTAGGTTGAGAAAATATTGCTATTACCCGAGATGAGAGTGTCTTATTTACGTGAGAAAGTATAATATTAAGTTATGAGTGAAACGTCTGCTTTTCTGTAAGTCCAATCAGATCAATGAAACAGCAGTCCTTTTTTAAAAAGGGAGAGAACAAGACCAAAAAAACCCTGTATGCAAGCCAAATAATATTGTAATGGGCAAACCCTAGGCTGCTGCATCTAAACCATATTTAACAGAACAGCTTCAGAGATATTTGATGACAGGGGTTTCATCTCTAGATAAAGTAAGCAGGGAATCCATAAATGGATCTCCGCTAACTGATGTCTTAATAGCAAATTCAGGAAGGTCACGCCTGTCAACACAAGCATTCAGAATAAATAATGAAAATCTGTTTAATTGCATATGGAGTCCAGATCATTGGAGAACAACAAAATAATTATAGAAGCATGTCCAATGTAAAAACTGTCATACTAATTTTTCATTGCTGATTAGGGTAGCTACCATGCACAGTGTCTAAATGTCCAAATAGCAGCTCAGGTTTTCATCTTTAGTCTCTTTTTCACAACATTCCTTCAGCTGAATTTCATTAACACTGGATCTTTGCAGCATGATTTTTTTCTCTGGATACACCTATCAGTCTGTGTATCTCCATCATCAACTGCAAGTTATTATGTTTTGATAAAATTTAAAAGAACTGTTTAGTTCCCTCAGTTTTATTCTTAATCCATTCTGTTCTGTCACCATTCTAGAACTCTAAAAACACAGGACAGAATGTCCAAAATACTGAAAATTCCTACCAGAAATTACATAGGCACTTCAATTTCTTTCACAAAAGGCACTCTTCCAGGTACACTACTACTTTCTATAGAATTATTCTAGTATTCAGAATGTACCCATCCTGTACATTTGCGTAAGAAGAATATTCCATAAGACTTCAATTTTCCAAATGAATAACATAAGATACAACAAAGAAAGACTCCTCATATTGAAAGCACAACCAAAAAAAAGCAATATGGCAAAACAGCTTACAACCCTATGGAATAGCATTAATTGTAATTTTACAGCATCTTAGTATTTGTTCTAAGACATATCAATCTATATTAGCTAATGACCCACAGTTTTGAACGGATTATTCTTCAGTGGCAATACACACCAGAGACACTGCAGATGAAGTGATTTTTTCCTTTAATATCAAATGGCCTTCTGTAAAGAAGTTATTTTAAAAATAGAATTATTTTCTGCTATTACTATTTCTTGAAGCAATAGGCTTAAATTATACAAAAACATTTCCATAAACTGTCTTTAATACGTACTAAAATACTAGTGTAAACCAACCCCTAAAACAAAGGCTTCCTGAAGGACTAAGCTGTGAAAAAAGGCAAGGATTACCAAAATCTGAGCTGCACAGGACATTAATACTTTGTAAACATATTTTCATAGTTATACAAGTCAAGTCCATGGGCAGTATATCTGGAATGTGGATTAAAAGCATAATAAATGCAAATACTCCCATCTGGCTCTTTGCATGGTCAGTTTAAGTTGGCTGAGTTTACCTTTTCAGGCTCAGCAGCTTTTGAATGTACTGTACTGCTCTGAGAATAAGCCTGGATCTCCCAGCACCATGGTTCTGTAACCTCGCACCCTGAGAATCCCTGCCTCGCATTACCCAAGTGCTTGTGCATACAGCCAGCCAATGTTAATAAGCCAAATATTCCCTGCCATTTCTTAATGCTCGGACGCCATACTGAGTGCAAGCTTGCTTTGTATTTTCACACCATGCTCTACCCAAGCTAATAAACACTTGAAGTACAAACTCCATGGATGAGAGATACCTGAAGGGTTTTGGGTTTTTATAGGAGACAGCTTAGTTCTGGCAGAATTGTGCTGAATCCTGACTGACTCCATGTGGAGACACTTGATAATTCTCATAAGACACCCAATTCACCATATTTTCCATGCTTTTCATTATCTGGAATACTCCTTTCTATTACTAAATATAACAAACCTAACAAAATAAAAAACACAGGAAAAACTTCCCGAAGACAGCCTACAGTGCTTGTTTATTTAGCATCAAAATTTTACTTTGTTGTCTCAGCACGCTGACGGGAGAATGCTTTCCACTGCACTGTTGAAACAAAACTTCTTTTGCTCATATCTATACACAAAACCAGTATTTTAACTTCACCAGTCTGAAAACAAACTCTTACCCCCTGTTTTTGAAAGTATACATTTAATCCACACAATTGATGCTGTCGTGGTTTGGCCTCAGCCGGCAACTAAGCACCACGCAGCCGCTCGCTGACACCCCTCTCCCCCAGTGGGATGGGGGAGAGAATCATGAAAAAACTCATGGGTTGAGATAAAAACGGTTTAATAGGACAGCAAGAGAGAAGGAAACGACAGTGACAGCAATAATATCGACAAAGGAATGTACAAGGACAAGTGATGCAGAATGCGGCGATTGCTCACCACCCAGCGATCGATAGCCCGTCCCGGAGCAGCAATTCCCACCCCCCGGTCAACTCCAGTTTATGTACTGGGCATGACGTTATATGGTATGGAATACCCCTTTGGCCAGCCTGGGTCAGCTGTCCCGGCTGTGTCCCCTCCCAGCTTCCCGTGCACCCCCAGACTTCTTGCTAGCAAGCCAGCACAAGAAGCTGGACTGTCCTTGACTACTTGGCCACAACTCAAAAAATCAGCACATTATCAACATTTTCTCTTCCCAAATCCAAAACACAGCTTCACACTAGCTTCTGTGAAGAAAATCAACTCTACCCTGGCTGAAGCCAGGACAATGCCTTCCAACTTGTACATATGCGAACACCAAACTCTTTTGCTCATCTAAAGCACCATGCACAAATGACTGTAACTCCTCTTACCCTGTGTACATTCTTTGTAAGTGCACTTTTTCTGATCAAGTAAAAGCATGTTAAAAATCTATTCATTTGTTCTAAGTGAATAAAAACTAAAGTCATCCCACTTAGAACAGATTACAACTGTTTAAATACTTCTGTATGTAAAGAACATCTTCTAGAAATAAAAATCAAGCTACTGAAACGAATGTCACACAAATTCTTCCTGTTACTGAGACACTATTGACTATGATGTAAGAAATTGTATTATTAATTACCTTAAGAGGGCGCCCACAACAAAAAAGAAGATTGTGACATGAATGCTATGAGTAGCACAGGTTAAAACCATTTCCATCAATATCTGTGATTCCTGATTTTAGTTTTGAAACCAGGAATACTGAAGAAAAACAGAAGGTTAGAGTATCAAACCCCACTGGTGATGATTTCAAAACTTCAGGAAAATGGTTGTAATTTCACAAATGTTCCAACCTATTGAAAATATTCAGTCTTACAAAAATAGGTACGATTTTGGAGGTTTGGAATTTTACTCAAGAAAGATTTGTTTGTATGAAGAGCCACACCTCTTTGCAAGACTACAAGGAAACAGGGCACCTAACATTTGGCGTTTTATTTCAATGTGAACAGCAAATATTTTCTATATGTCATCTAAGCTGCTGGGTGTAGAGGCAAAAGACCCTGTGTAACATGGCCTTTTCATGAGACAAAGCAATGAAAGGATATCCAATGGCACCAGATGCACATGTTTAGACAACTGAGTTTCATCCAGTTGAGACCTATCTATAACCAGTTAAAATCACAAAAAAAAGTATTTTGCCATTCTGTATTTGATGATGTAGGGCGTTTCTCCTACTTTGAAATGCTAACATGAGAATACTGGAGAAATTAAATACAAGGATGCATTTCAAACAAGAAATAACAACACTGAAGAGGTTCAACACATCAATCCAATCAGGTTGCAGTCTGTTATAAAAAAAGTCACCCCTACAATGAATGTAAGAGAAATGGTGAGGGAAGGTTAAACGCTTTGGCTGAACAGAACTACAAGTTTGAACAAAGGATCACAGTATGAATAAAAAAACAACTGTGAAATTTCTAACACTAGCCAGCTTCTGAAGGATCAACTAGAAGTATTAATTTAGCTTTTATAAACAAATTCTTTAGCTTAATAAAGTCTAACTGTTATTTAATATTATTCTATGACCTTGGTGGCAAGTCTTGACTGACAGACAGGCAAGGTTTATGGAGAAGAATAAAAGTACATACACTTAACAGGCAGTCTGCAGAACAGCTGCTAAAGAGAAACTTGGCCACAAACTTCAGCAAATGTTGAGTATCAAGACAGCAAAAAAAGAAATCGCTGGAGTCAGTTTTGTTGTTAGAATATGCTTTGTCCTTTGTACAAGTGAATTCACTTTCTTAAGAAAATACAAACCGTCTACACAATTTACTGGGTGTTTCCTTTTCATTTAAAACGAACTTACCGAGTGCCGTCTGCTTTCCAGCTAACTTTGTATGGCTTCTGCTCCAAAAATTTAATATTTTGCTTGTCCATGGAAACAGGCTGTGCTCCAGGGAATCCAGACCTTAAAAAAAAAAAAAAAGTTTATTAATATTCTGCAATAAACAGTCACACAAGGCAATGCATTTTTTATATTAGACTGCAGTCACACCTTGTACCAGACTTGCTGCAAGATTAACTTTGAGTTAGAACATCTTCTCCAATAAGGTATTTTGCAAGAAGAATGAAACGCCCATCTGATAAGAAGAAAGGTATTTGCTTTTGACAAAACACTAAATTATGTGGAACTTCAAAGTTTTAACTTCGGAGGAAGAAATATCTGAATTCAAAATTACAAGCACTAGAAGAACTATACGCATTAGCAAGTTAGGAAGCACTGTGAGCAACTCCCTGGATCATCAGCTTTGGAAAGGAGGAGTTTAGAATCTGAGACATTAAAATCAATGTTTTCATTAACATTGGACACAAACCCATGTTGGCTATACAAACAAGTATTTTACCTCAATGCGGAAGTGTAACAGTAGTTGTATAAGTAAGTTTGAGCAAACACTAAATTTTACACAAACACCTGGACTAGACTGTATCTGGAATTTGCACAGCAACAATTCAACTGAAAGCATTTTGCTATTTAAATGGAAAAGCAGTTCTAGAGTCTTGTTTCTTAATATCAACAGTTGATCATTCTGCTTCGTAATGCAATGCAAGCTCCTCATCTGTTTCACTGTCGAGTGTTTTTGAAGCTTGCTTTTTTTTTTAAACAATTCACCAAAAATAGTCACCTTTTAATTTTTACAATGAGCTGTTCCCCTCTGCAAAACTAGAAACATAAACGTTATTTCTAGACAGTATAAATAAACAAATTCTAAATGTTCTCATACCCTTCCCATCCACAGAACTGCTGACATTTTTGCTGTATTCCTCCTAACTTTGGCTGTGTTGTCACTTGGGTCACACATTTAACTGTTATTCCTTCCAAGAAAATTGCACCCTAAATAAAAATGAAATATAATTAGTATTTAAGCCTTCATAAAAGCAGATCAGAACATGTCAATACAAGATTAAGTCTGTTTTTACAACTTGACCCTTACGAGCAATACTAACTTAGATATTCCTTAAATATTTACCCCCAAATACCAAGCTAAATCGGCTGAGATTTGCCAGTAAAATCACTGGTGAGCCGTACTATGAACCCGGGAACTGAGTTATTTATGGGGACAAAAATAAAATAATAATTTGAAAAAAAATTAATAGGAGGTAAATGGTGAGGGATAGGCACTGTTTAGCCAGCACTGTCAAGAAAGTTCCCACGTCAAGCTACAGCATCAGTCTGACTCAGTATTTTTCATCTGTAACTAAAAAGTTTTTATTTAAAAAGAAAGTACACTATTATCACATATGTAATAGTAAATTGGTCACATATGGAATTTGCAGGGATCAAATTAATCATCCTCAGTAGACAAATTATTATATAATAACAAGGTAGTGCAAGACATCTATTTGTGGATGAGAATCTGAACCTAAACAGTATTGTAAGCCTCAAGCAAATCACTGTTCATCAAAGGTCACAAAACTCTTTCTGGCAGAAGCCTTTGTGACACCACTTTTAAGTGTGTCAAAAAGTATGGCCTCAAAATAAGTAAACTGGAAACTAAGGACAAAATTGACCTATGAAATGTTAAATAATTTTTTTAATACATAAATAGTATTTCTAGACCAACAATTCTGTGCTTTCCTTGATTCACAGAAAGTAAGAGCTGCTCACGAACAGTAGAGATCTAACATGAGATAAACATAAGTAGCTTTGTAATTAGTGAACTAAACTCACTGGAAAACATTTTTAGACATGAGGGTTTTGGTGGGGTGGGTTTAAAGCAAAAATCTCAGCAGATGACAACATTAAGTCCTACTTTTCTCCCTCCAAATCTTTGAGATGCATGTTTTCAATTAAATATGTTAATTTTCTCAGACCTAGATGGTAATTCCTGTTCAACTGCATGGATTTCACCTCTACCCAAGTGATATACCACATTATATGGCTCAAAACTTAAGCTCACATTGTAGGGAATGAATGCACTTATGCAGCAGCAAACTTAAAGACTTCTCAGTTGATCTGAGACAAACTTCTTAATAAAAAACATAAACAGCTGGTTTGTAACAAAGCATTTGTGTAAAAATATACTTGTATAATTTTATTCTCAATCTAAACCAGGCTACTAAAGTGGAGGTGCTATCCTCACTGCCACAGAAAAACCTAAGTAGAGATCAATGAAAGAATACTGAAAATAAAACTCTAAAATAACTTGTATATTCCAGGAAAAGTTTGATGCCCAGTGGAATAAAAACAAATTCTGCACAACAGAACACATTAAAGGCATCAGGTCTACAAAGCTACATAATCAAAGATTTCTATAGAGATCTCAAATTGACCAGACTTATTTCAAAGGCATCTCAAACAAATTCTCAATGGAGACTAAGATCAAAGTTATGAATCCTGCAAATGAAGACTCGAGTATTTCTTACCACTTCTCTAAAATGCTTCAAACTTGCCTTAACAAATCTAGCAGCATACTACTAATGAAAGGAGCCTTTTTGCTCCCTTCCTTTTCCACACACCATGGCTCTCTGTTCTACTCTTGAGCAAGTCTAGGAACCAAGCTGGCAAAAATAACCTCATAAATCAGTAATTTTCTGCCAAATTAGTATCCTAAACTAGCTCACCATAGGATGAGTCAGCACCAGTGCCAGCACAAGGGAAGCAGAAGGAACACAAGGAGTGCAGGCAAAGCAGGACCGCAGTTTTCAGTACAGCCTGCATTTAGTTAAGATTGGCTCAGTTGCCTCACCAAATCGTATTCCGAGAACAGTACATCCTAAAGAAATACAGTCATTCATAACCTTAATTACCTTAAGCTCCACAGACTTTCAGCTCATCACTTATCCCATATTATTTATGTTATATTTATGTGGGCACCAGCAGCTGCAACAGCACCCAGTGACTGGGTGAGGGAGGCAGACAGCTACACATGCCTGGCCAGCATGTTGTCTGAATTCTAAGTGGCTAAGAGCACCACAAAATAAAGGAAGATGGTCATGCCTTACTCCTCAGAATAATGACAGAGTGCAACGGCAGTACAACTGGTAAGATTAAAGCAAAAGGCAGGTGACAGGAAAGATTTTCCAGAAAAGAAAAAGTCATGAACATGAAATTGGTGACTGCCATTTGAAAGTGTATCTTGCAGATTATCTGGCTCAAGTATATTCACTAGCTAAGGCACAGCACTATGAAAACAAGGTGAGTCATTTGGGCATCCATGCTTGGCTAACTAAGTGCTCCAGGTTTCATGAGAACATTTCCTTGGATAAGGTGCCAAAACTGAGCCAGATCCATGCACTTTCTGCACCACTGTTGAGCTAACAACCCCCTGTGGAAACAGGACACGAGAACCCAGTGCAGAGATGCCACAGCACTCAGCTCAGCAAGAGCACCTCAGGTCCTCAGCACTGATACTAAGCCAAGAGTTATAAGCCCTAATGGATTCAAAGTAACTACGTGCACTTGGTATCTACACTCTGCACAACCTTCACACCATCTGTACTAATCAAGCGCTCATCGCTTGCCACCACATCCCTCTGCCCATGACTTCAGCTGAAGGAGAAGTGGCAATGTTGGAACACAGGGAGACTACAGTGGGGGTCAC